CTGTCTGTCTGTCTCTCTCTCTATCTGTCTGTCTGTCTGTCTCTCTCTCTCTCTCTATCTATCTATCTATCTATCTATCGTCTGTCTGTCTGTCTGTCTGTCTATCTATATCGGATTGTCCCATGTGAGGTCTTGGTAAATTCTATTCTATTCTATTCTATTCTAACATCAAATTGATTGGATCGCTCGCACAGATTTAATGATGATGCTCGTGGAGTAACAGTGGCATAGATGGTCGATCTCATCTGTTCCCTGTCCTGAGAGATCAAATACGATACGGAGGAAACGCATTTGCTGCTGAGACTGCAGTTTCAGTGACGTGTCACCTGCATTCCCTCCTGTCTCAGAGAGTATAGCCTACGATATGACAGATTTCACAATTAAAGAGATGCGCCAGTCATTACAGTTGCCTAGAAATGAAGACTAGGGTTGTATCAGTACCAACGTCTAAATATAGCGAGATGCACCGACGGGCGTCTGTACCAAGTTAACGGATGCTTGTTAGGATGCGGTGTTGTGTTGGGCCCACTCACTCCACCCACAGGTACACGACCCTCACGCTGGAGCGAAAGGCCCACAGTCACGGCTCCTGTCCTCTTCGCTTTCCTTTCACCCGTCGCATCCTGCAGCAGCTATTGTATTCATCCTGAAGGCCTGCATGAATCACAGAGGGGAAAAATGGTAAAAAATAGACAAATTTCTATCTAGTGGGAGTTATGTGAATTCATTCAAGCTGTGGGCTCTTTGCAGCACATACCACAGATAATAAAAGGATTATTGGCCAAATACATGAATGTAACAAACCATAACTGCAGCAATGTATGCCTGTGTCTTTCTTAGTTGCTAAAGTTTCATAAATAATGCACAAAACTTTTTTGATTTTTAGAAAGCAATTAGTACTTTTTTTTTTTTTTTTAGCAAGGATGCATTCACATGATCAGAAGTGACAGTAAAGAATGTTATAATGTTACAAAAGTTTTCAAATGTATCACAGTTTTGGACAAAAAAAATGAAGCAGGTCAACTGTTCTCAACATTGATAATAAAAATAATTTTTTCTTGAGCAGCAAATCAGAATTTAGAATGATTTCTGAAGGATCATGTGACAGTAAAGACTGGAGTAATGATGCTGAAAATACAGATTTGATCAAAGAAATAAATTACATTTTACAATATATTCACATAAAGAACAGTTATTTTAAATTGTAATAATATTTCAAATTTTGACTGTAAAATTTTCTTTAAAAAAAATTGATCAAATAAATGCAGCCTTAGTGAACATAAAAGACTTAAAAAAAAATTAAAAAAAAAACCTTACAAATTCTCACCAACCCCAAACTTTCAAGAAAGTGGCTAATATATTTCTGGTTAAATATACTATACTTTTAACAAAATAAACTGACATATAACCATCCTAAGTATTTAACAGATCAAGACATTTGGATCTCTATTACATCTATTAAGTGCTAGAAAGCAGGCAAAACGAAAGATACTTGTTTGTATAAACTATAATATGATCATGTTTCACTTCAGACAATAGAAACATGAGATCACAGTATTATCAGTTGAGGAAGAGAAATGGAGATGAAAATGGAGATTTTATAGATACTTCACGCTGTCAGATACAGTTTCTTTCCAGTAAAGTCTTTCGTGTATGTTTTCATTGTCTCCTTTTTTAATGCATGAAGAGATGCTTTGCCTTTTGTTATTGCATTGTTTATAAAATACTGCATTTTTAATAACATTGCCTTTCATGTTCAAAATGAATGAACTATATAATAAATGTTTAATTATACAGAAAACCAAACAGTGATATCTTTGTTGGGGATATTCAGATTTAGGCAGCAGGTTAATCGAGATGCTTTTAGAAACACCTCCTTGTTTGTGGTTCTTTTAGATGTTTCCTTGTTAAAGCATTTCCTTTACTGAAGTTCTATGTTTCCTTTAATGAAAACTGCTTCGTTCTTTGTATTTCTGTTTAGAACCTCCCCTTCGGTTTACAGGTAAAGTCACTCCTACAAGATCAATGAACACAAGCGGCGTTTGCTGCATAATACAGCGAATAAGTGTCTACTTCCGACTCGCGAAGACATGTCAAGCATTCAGAAAGAAAATATGAAATGCAGAAACAATAGTCTGTTCTGTCTCAGCTGTGAAATTAAAAAATAATGCATAATAGGGATATACAGTACTTTTAAGCTAGGCAGTTTGTGCTCATGTCATTTACTGAGGCATTTTCAGATTAATTACACTTTGTGGTTAGTACTATGTCACGCAAATGTGAGAAAATGATGACAAATTATCAAACAATCAGTCTATTGTTAACCATTGGAATGACAGGTAACTGTAGTTCATTTTCATAGGTTGCCCCAGTTTTCATGGGAATTATGAAGGAACTTAGAGGAACAGCTCATCCAAAAACGAAAATTTACTCACCCACAGGTCATCCAAGATGTAGATGACTTTGTTTCTTCATCAGATTTGGAGAAATGT